TACCGCCTCTGTTGTAGTTTGGATACGATACCATTGAATTCGCTCCCACCCCTCACCCCCCTCCTTCGGTCGTCTGTGTATTATCTTGAGTCCAGAGCAAGTAGGATGCCGGAAGAGAGAGAGAGAGGGTGATAAGTGCTATGCAAGTCACTTCCCTATAAACTGGTTCGCGCGCGAGTCACTGCTGCGCCCACTTTCTGCATCGCGCCATGCGCGTTGCGGTTTACGCCATTCGAGCGGTCGTATGCCTACGTTAGGTAGCAGCCAGCAGGACCCGATTCTTAATCCGGTAGACCGTCAGTTGACAACACCCAAGCTACGAATTTAGTCTCCTTTGTGAGAGGTAAAAAGAAGGTCAGATTCTTGCCATGAGGATCGATCTACTTCTTCCTTCTCCCATCGTATCTTTGAAGAGGAATAAAAGATCATGCCGAGTATACGGCTGACAACGGCCTGGAATTCCTTGGGTCACACCGATCTGGCCTTCAGTTTGTTCTGTAGAAACAGCGCAGTGTGTTCCGGTGACACAACGAGGCACTATACGGAACTGTTTTTAGGTATCACAGCTTTTTGCTTATTCAGTTGCTCTACATTTATTTACTTCTTCGCCGATAGACACCATGCTTAACACTTTTTGTATCTTCATTTCACAGGCGTCCCACCGACAGGAATCCATTCCCTTCCTTGACAATTCCTGGGTAGCCGCTATCCAGAACAAGAGCCTAACTACCCCCGGCACCGTGAACATTTTGTCCGCTCCAACCAAACGACGTCTCTTGGGCACTGAAACACTGTCTCCTAATGGTTTTCTCCCCTTGCCAAGCGAAGATTTGACCTCTGGTTGTAAGTGGCGCCATTCTGGGGGGCCCTTCAACGTTATTACAGAGCACCACGATGCGCTGGAGCCCCTCAAACGCGAGCAGCTTTCGAGGTCGTACTATCCGAGCCCCGAACGACAGTACTATGGCCGTGGTCTGGCTGAACAGAAGAAACATTTGTCCAAGTCCGCCGACTTTCATATTCTAAACAAAGTAAAGGACCAGAAAACACCCACGGAGGAACCAAAAAAACGTGGTAAGTTTACGTCTTGTTGGAAAAAACTTAACGGCAGAAATCTGATCCCTATTAATACGGAGCACTGAAGTCTTCTTTAGATTTTTTTTCATTAGCATGTTTTTATTTGTGCGTGTATGCATTTATCTTCTCGATAATATGTGGTTTCCATGCTGGTGTATGATCCTATAATAGGACGATTTTTTCACCAGTCGTCCGCAAGCAATGCTTTTGGCCTCAGCCCTACTAAACTGCCAGTTATTGTTAGAACTGCATCCAACCTAAGCCCTTTCTGGTAAATCCGACGCCAACTTTCATCTTATTAACCCTTAAACTCTGTACGCACGTACTTGTGAAATATGGCGTGTTTATTTATGAACCGGACATTTTACTGAATGACCCGCTTGCAGGTGTGCCATATCACTCTGTTCCCGGTACTAGAGATCCTATTTTGATTTTTTTTCTGGCGCTATGAATACTTGGTGGGTTTTCGTAAACTATATCACTGAAAACAAGTTAGTATGTTCTGAAACAGCACGGGGGTCGGTTTATCCGTATGCAGCATTTAGATTGTAAACAGCATCGGTATATGAATATACCTGGGCCAATAATTTCTCCTGGCGCCACAAGTTCAAAACTTTTTAATCGGCTCTTAAGAACCAGAACCGCAAGCTCTAATTAAAATATTGTTGAAGTTAAAAATGCACTTAAGCAAGCCATATCGCAATTGGCTGTCAAATGGCCCCAGAAAAGCTACTCACTAATCGATTTTCTCCCCTCGCCCCCCCCCCTTGGCGCTACCTTCCGTCAATTTCGTTCGAGGAGGAGATGTCTGTTTTGAAAGTTTAAGGCCGCTAGTAAGGTACAAACAGTAGCGCTGGCTGCTTTTCAGTAGCGTTTGAATGCGGTTCCGACAGTGAGGCTGAATTAAAAATGAGTTTTGTTTTTCAGCTTCGGCAAGTGCACGCTTACCTTGCTACTAGGTAATTGCAGCAGCTATTTCCAGCCCATTAGTGCGCTGGTGCCGATTATCTTGGCTACCGAGGTGTTAAA